GGGCTACAGCCATGGCAGAAATGAAATGGGGCTTAACACACGAGAGAGAGATTGTAGTGTCAAGCCAGAGAGCGAGCCCAGGACTCAGGTAAGACTGGACCGTGAAAGCACTTAACAATCAGGGCCTTTCAGACAGGACGGTTTACAAAGCAAAGAGCCAATGCGTACTTAACATTCCCCCAAAGAAGAAAAGATTTTTGAAAACCTTTAAATGTTTTCTTCTGGGTAACGTTGAGCTACTCAGAGCTGCCCCAAGGTGTCTGATGCTCAACACCCAGATGTTTCCAAACTTGTCTACTTGGCAGCCTCTTCATAAGCAAAGTGACCAATAGTTCAGTGACACACACCACACTCAAGAGTTAAACAGAAGGGGGCTAGGCTGTCTTCCATGTCCCTCATCTACCCGCACTGAGAACCATAGAGAGCTGGGGTGAGTGTGGTGGGACTGGAATGAAGATAAAGGTAAAGCCTGGGTACCAAGGAAGTCTACTCTCAAGGGAAGCAAACTTGAGGAATTACTTGTACATTTCATTTCCCTGGGCCCTCCCATCCAACTTTATCAGGTTTTATTGAAATGAGACTAGAGTCAGGTTACTGTCATTACCAAAGTCTCTAATTCTGTAGATAAAACAAATAAAAACATTTTTTAACTTAAATTTTCCAGGCTGGGGAGTAGCTCAGTGGTCGAAGGCTTGCCGAGCACGAGTGAGGCCTGGGTCGATCCCAGTAACACTAAACAAGCAAAGAAACAAAGGCAAACACTGCACTTCTCTTCGGTGGCCAGCTCCATGGAAGAAGTCAGGAAACAGGACAGGCAGGGACCAGTGGCAGGGCAGGAGTGGACACAGGCACAAACATACCAAGAGGCCTCGAGCGACACCAGAGGACAGAGTGGGGAAAGGAAAGGTGGGAGAGAAGGAAAAGGCATGACCAACAACAGAACAAAAAGGATAGAAAGACGGGAGGACACACGCACACAGATTTCCTTTCTCAACAGAAGACCGCTGAAGGCTTTGGCCTGCATGATGCACTTGGGCGACCAGGCCCATGCTCCGGAACCACTCTGGGGTTCAGGGCTGGGGGTGTCACGAAGCAGCGCAGGCCATGAACTTGGCAGGGAGCTCATCATCGAGGAGGTGGCATGGCAAAGCCCTGACGGATGACCGCAGGCTCCGATGAGTGTCTCCAGCAGGAAGAGGCAGCAATCCTTGAGGGCTGCAGAGAGGCGCAGTCAGCGTGGGCTGAGGATGGCAATGAACACCTGAGAGCAGAGCGTCTTTCCGCATCAGACCTTGCTGGACCTCGAGGAGGCTCACCCTGTGTGTGGGGGGAGCAGCAAAGCCACACCTACACTACTCGGCCCAGGTCATACGCACTTCCGGAAGGAGTCCTAGCAAGGATTGCAGCTAAGAGTCTATTTTTTAAAATACCGGACAGCAATTCATTTGTCCTTAAGATTTCATGCTACCCTACATAAAAGTTCCGAGGCCAGATAAAGTGAATGCAAGAGTCTCCTTAGGCGTGTGTATGTTAACTTTACGTACTAGGAAGCCCTTCTGACCTACGGAACTACATCAATGCCCTGGTACCGATCTTTTATTCATTTAACATCCATTTCTTTTTTTTTTAAACATCCATTTCTTGAAAGCAACTGTGCCAGGCACAGAGCACAGGCAAAGACAATAAACCAACAGAAAGTGGGAAATGGAAGCGAAATGCTAATGGCACAATGTGTTTGCTATGTGTCCTTGGTGCAGGATTTAAGAAAAAGTAGCCGACAAAACGGTAAGACAAACAGCCCTTCCAATAGTTAAAATTCAGAGGCGGCCACAGCTTGTTAATACACATCAGAAGCACCATCTAGGTCTAACTTCTGATCGTGTAGTGAGAAGCTAATGCTGCAAACAGCAAGATTATCTTGGAATGTTCTTGATTGAATGCATTATCTTTCACTTCGTAAAGATGAAAATAAAGAGAAAGAGCTTTGGATGAAATGAAACGAGAGCCAGCACAATAGACAGTTATAACTGCACAGGAAGAAACGAAGGCGCCTTCTGGTAAAGACATTTCAGACATCTCGCCAGCAGTGGGCGAGGTGAGGAGAGTTGCGCAATGCTATGGATCACGCCGGGGCAACACAGCAGTGCAGAGCGGGTGACAGATCTGGACATCACAGCCGATTTATTGGAAAGCTACGGTCTGTGTATGATAGGCCACTTTAAATATTAACTTTCAACATTCATATTGTAACATTCAGAAGACAGATTCTATTTTACAGATAAGTGACTTGTAAATTTCTATCAGAAAAAAAATAAATACTCCCTCCCAGATTTACTTTCTGGAAATTTAAGTTTAAAGAAAATACTTTTAGGAAAGAAAAATATATGTCACTTAAAAATTAATGAGGTAAGAAAAAGAAGGTTTTTATACATTTAGGTATACAAGATAGATGTAAAATTAATATTTGCTGTAAAGTTAAGCCATGTGGTTTATGTCATATGAATTTTATTTAAAAATTTAACTTTTACAACTTCTTATCATTGTAAATTCATGGAGTTGTAAGAAATAATGGAGAGATATCACATCTTTTTATCTAATTTTTTCCAATTATACCATATTTCAAAATTCACAATGAGATTTGTGCTTTAAAAAGAAATAAGGGCCAGGGATTTAGCTCAGTGGTTCTGCCACCTGCCTCACAAGTGTAAGGACCTGAGTTCGGTCCCCGGTACCAAAAAAAAATTAAACATAAAAAAAAGAGAACTAAAATCCAGGTTGCCTATCAATAAGATTCACTATGGAAATTAGCAACCCCACTCTAATTTAACCACATAGCAACCTGCGCTGATATGTGCAGGCAGAAAAAGCAAATATTTATTTTCTCTAAAATACTGGAAAAATCTATGAATTCATGCAGCATCTTCAGATCCACAGAATGAAAGATCTTAGCTTTAAAAAAAAAATCCACCCACAAGTTTTATTTCTGCACCCAAATTTCGAAACTGTAAGTTGACATGCTTTCAAGAAACGAAGAAAACAATTTCATGTTCTTGTTTCAAATTGCGTATCACCAACTGGCTGTCACTTTGTTAAAACCCCTCCTACAGAGTCGTCTCAGAGGATTTATGAGATAAGGGCCTATCCAGGATTATGTCGTGAATTTCACAGTAAGAAGCAGTTTCAGAAGTACCGGGGATCAATTTCTGCTTCTCCAAATGCTGTGCTTCTGAAATCTCTGAGGCAGATGTGTTCGAATCTGGCAAGCTGTGTTCTAAAGTCAGGGCCAAGCACTGAGAGAGAGCCAACAAGTCGTGGCTGACTCCGGAAGGCAGCAGTGATAGAGATTGATAATCAGCTCCTGGAATGCCAAGGTCATGAATCAGCTTACACGGAGTGAAGCCTACACAGGACTAAAACTGCTCATTGGTGATACCAGGCTGAAAGCTGTCGCTGGAGGGTGTTACCTTCGCAGAAGGCCGTCAAGCAGTGCGAGGCAGTTAGAAAACCACATCAGCGAGCCCAGTGCACTGCCTCTGAGATGTCCAGGGCAGGGCGCTAAGAGGGCACTCGACTCCACACTCTGATTACACCCAGGGCCTAGAGGAACGCCCCGTGGCAGTTTCCCACAAGATACCTGCACTGGCAGAAACTGAACTTAAACCATAAGCATGAAATCTATGCTGAGGAGTGAAAATGTGCATACAATAGCATAGCAATGCCAGTCTACAAGTTCTTCCTGAGCAGGAGAAGTCAAGGATTAGGACAGGGAGACTGCTGTAAGACGGGGAGGAGAACTACTTAGGAAAGCACAGTGAAAAAGAGTCCCAAGGAGGAATCACTGCAGATCAGTGAGAAGCAATTCTCTGAACAAGCCAGGCCAACTCAGAGCAATCAGCCATGAACCCTCTCAGACAAATGATGGTCTAGAGAAGAAAATGGAACCCCAAAGCTGCACATGCAGCCAGTGAGGGTCAAAGAAAAGGCAACTCTGTGACTCACAGCATGTAGGGGACCAAAGGCAGAAAGTGAAATCATTTTAGCCCAGGAAGGGGGCTCCTGCAGGCAAGCTCCCGAAGAGATGGCTAAGAGTGGCTTGTAGTGACATCTTTCACTACAAAGTCTTCATTTAGAGAGCAGGAGAAGAAGAAAGAGCAAACTAATTTTAATGGTTGTAAGATGTAAAAATCATCTCTAGGCATCCACATATCCCAGGCAGTAGTAAGTCCAGTGTTGACCTTCAATGGACAATGAAGCACAGCAAGGCATTTGCATCTCCTGACATGGACAATCTAGAAACTAAACTCTGCACCACAGTAATGAACAGGGGAGTAGCTCTTTGGTATTACCAATGGTAAAGAGATGGAGCCCTCTATTCAGAAATCCGCAAACAACAAAGGGAATAAAGAAAAAGAAATGGAAAGATCAAATTATGGATCTGAAACACAAAGAGATGCTCACCTTCACTCTGAATACTAAGAAATATTAACAAAGCAAACTCTCAAGGAAGAGAAGGGCTTAATTTCCATTGGCACACTGGGCACAGTGCTATCTGATAGATATGTGCTACTCAAAACGGTAGCTTCCAGCTGTATGTGGCTGGTGAGCTTCAGAAATGTGCCCACCACAACCAATGGACTGAACTGTGATCTTATGTAATTTTCAACTACATCACATACCATAGATGGCTAGTGGCCACCATGTTGGATTAGATTTCTGAAAGTCCATTCTATGTCCTTCGCATGTATTAACTCACTGAGTCACCACAAACTGACTAGGTTGATACTACATTACCATCTACTAGGCATGCTTTTAAAAAACTGAAACACAGAATTATTAAGTAATCTGCCCAAAGCCACCCAGCAGGTTGTTAAACCAAAGGCCACCTAAGGCTCCCAATGGCAACGTGCTTCACTTAAGGAGCAGGTCAGGGTAAAGATGAGCCCAGAGTCACCACAAATATTCCATGTTGACCATGTTGAAAAGTAAAGAACCCAGTCCACCTGTTTTCCCTGTGTTTTTCATCCAGGTTTTGTTAGAAGACTCGCTGTCAAAGCCATCCAGCTGCAGCTCCTGGTACTCCTCTCCGACGCGGGCCTGGTGGTCTAAGATGTCTATGGGCGACTGGTGACGGCCTCCGCAGCTGACACTGGATGTGACCCAGTGCTCAGGACCATAGGCACCTGTTAAAGAAAACAACATTTCAATCCACAAGGCTCCAAGGCCAGGGATGGAACAGGCAAGATTCAGAATGCCAAGGGGCGCGTGTTCTGAAGTCCATTCTCCAATATGTCCTCACTTCAGAAAACTGAGCGCAGAACTGAAAGCCATGGATTGGAGCCATCTGCCGGACATGGCAAGGTTTCAGAAAAGCAACGTTACTTAAGATAGGTTTGCCTCTTGATTTGCAATCAAACGTTTGCTAACTTAATCTTTAATCGGATTCAGGGAGCTGCACAGAAGGGCTGTCAGAGTTGTTCACATTTTTGAAAAACTTTCAGTTTCCTAAAATAATCAGAGCGTTCATTCACAAGAAAGTGACTTAATCAATTTAGTAGTTTTGCTATTGTGAACAATGTCCTAAATATAACTTGCTTCTTAGCTCACAGGAAATCTGTAAACAGGAAAAGAAAAAAAAAACTAAATTGAAAGCAATACAAAGCTAAGTGTGGTGACTCATACCTATAATCTCAGCATTCTGGGAGGCTGAAGCAGGAGCATTCAACATTCAAGCTGAGCCTCTGCAACTTAGTGACTTAGCAAAACTCTATCTCTAAATAAATAAGTAGACAGAAAATTTTAAAAGGGGGTAGGGACGTAGCTCAGTGTGAAGGCCCTGGGTTCAATTCCTAGTACCAAAGCAAAAAAAAATCCCTTTTTTTAGAATTAGTCATACATGAGTCTGAATTGAACTGCATGAATTTTTAGAGGATAAACATAGGCATTTCAGTCAAGAAAGGTTAGTGCGTGTATATATGAAAATATACATATCTTACAGGTTTTGTAGCTTTAAACATCTCCCAATATCAGACAGAAAAAGATGAACAGCTACAGTGAGTTTAGTAGACCCTGCCGTGCATGAAGGAAGACGCAGGGAAAAGGCGACGTTAAGTCCCCACCACTCCCTGGGAAGGCCCATCCACCAGGCTGTCACTTCCAGCAGCTGCCCTATGCCCTCAAGCAGGTGCTGCTCATAGTTGTTATAAACAGCGGCACCATGAGAAAAGGGAAATCATCACAGAGAACCATTTCAGGGTTGGTGACAGATGGTTCAGGTATGCAAGAGCGATCTATACTGCTCTTTAAAAGTGATTTATGGCAGAGTTCACTGGTGCACACCTATAATCCCACCACACTGGTAGGCTGAGGCAGGAGAATCCCAACTGTAGTGAAACCCTGTCTCAAAATAAAAAATAAAAAAATGAGTGGGGATGCAGCTCAGTGTGAAGATCCTGGGCTCAGTCCCCAGTACTGGGGGAAAATGATTCCTATTCCCGCTACCTGACAAATACTTAAGACCTGCTCTAATGTCTGGGACATTTTCCTTAATTATCAACTGAAACAAAAAGATAAAAACAGACTATCACAAAGATGTTGACAGATGGTGAAGGTCTGGCAAACTTGGGGAACTTTTAAGGCCTTTCCAAGTGCCAGAGTGCTTTCAAAAAAGTTAATATCACCCTTTCTTTACAGGAGGAATCCACCTGAACTAGGAAGTGGCAAGGTTTTTTATTCATTTTGTTTCACCTCTTACACAAATTTCCTGGGAATGTGATGAGTCACAACGGGACAGGATGTGAATCTGCACATACTGCAGTCAAACATTATTTCCACCTTATGTTTACATATTTGAGAAAAGAGGAAGGGACATAACAAATGGCTCCAATTATTCTGTCCACAGTTGAAATTTTCTTCCAGATGCCAAAAGAATATATTGTAAAACTGAATGAAATGCTTTTTGATATATTCGATGTCTGACCAAAATGTGAATTTTGGTTAGCTGTAATTGGGTTTCTATGTGCAAAATATGGAAACTAATGTTTTAATATCACATATGTTTGTGTGTGTATAAAATGTGTTCTGGGAATTTACTACACAATAAAGCCACACTCAATGGGAAGAAATGGTGTGGGACATGGTAAAATGAGTTCAACATGTATGACTCCAAAGAAATAATAAATACAAGCCAGCATTTGTGAAAATACAGACTGATAATTATCCTACTATCAATAATAATAATAAATACTCTGCAGGGACAGAAAAGTATTTGCCATTGATAATTAATGTTCGTAACTTTCTAGATGTGGGTGATATAATTTAGCATTCTATAAAAATATAATCAGGGTTTATACAAGTAGGATTCATTTCTTCCCTGGTAACAATTTGAAGATTTAAGCTGACTGTATGCTTGCTTTCACATTTCTACCCAATACACATTCAAGTGTAATTTTAATTGAAACTGATCTTCCATTTCAGATTTTAAATTAATTCTTCCTGGGAGTGCAGCATGCTCCAGACACCCTTGCCTTGCAAAACCCCCTATATGTCATTAGTGGAGGAAACAGAACGCTTTTTCCAAGCTTGCAGCTATTGATTACCTATTTTCACATCGAAGCACTGTTGCCACTCCACACTGTATAAATCTCTGTGGTGTTCAGACACTTTATAAAGGACTCAGAATTATATCATTAATCATTTGAAGTTGCACAGAGTTTCATGGTATTGAATGCTCTGTTTTTCAGAACTTTGAATAAATGCGTCTAAGTAAAAACCATGACACTAAATAAGGACTGTAGTCAATCTAAACCTAGCTTGGAGAAAGAAAACACAGTGAGCAACACGCTTTCCTCTTTAGGTCTGACATGACCCGTACGAAACAAGAAGAAAAGGCACTTGCTCTGCAGTCCCCTCTTACGGACTCTTCCTCAGAATGAGAAGCACACATGCCCATCAGCAGCCCCTTCCTAGGGTTTGGAAGCTGACTCTGACATCACAGCCTCATACACAAGACGACAGTCTCGAAAGGACAAAGGGGAGGCGGGGGAAACCACGGCATTCATTTAAGAGTCTTGCAGAAATGAGATGCGGATGGAGTCATCCTGCCAACCTATTAACACCAAGGGAATCTAAACAGTGCTTCTCATTCAACCTGAGATGAAAAATTGTTTTCCTTTTTAATTAATGTAACAAATACCCCTGAAACCTCAGACTAAAGTTCAGATCTCAGGGTAAATGTCCCTTTGTCCGGGATGTCCAGGTGTTTGTGCTGTCCCAGCTCTGGCTTCTTGGTTTCTTTTGATTCTCACCGTCATTAGTGTAATTTATTGTTTACTCCTAAATATCTGCCTTCCCCAGTGGTGGGTAACTCTGAGAAGAGGTTCCTTCTACGTCATGTTAGCACAGGAGTCTCCATGTAGTAAGTCCTTAAGACACATGTTTTGGGGCAAACAAAGTGGAGGTGAAATCCAAGAGAGGCAGAATTCTATCTTCCAGTGATACTACAGTGTGTTCTCTGTCACGACTTAGTTTTAATTGCGCAAAACTGTCTGCAAACTCCTTACTATTTCTTCTTCACTTCCTTAGTCTCGAGAGTCAGGATGCCAATTTCAGAAGTAAATACTCCTTTTCTCCATTAATGCATTAAATTAGTCTCAACTGTGACATGCTAAGTTATGCCCCAAACACATGATGTGCATGAAAGCATCTGTGTGCAAATTTAACAAGCTGGCCAAGGGTGACTGTGGTATTTTAAGTCAAGGTGTAACAGAACTTTACTTTCTGTGACTCGTGTGAAACATGATGATGTTTCAGACCTGTCTTATATCTTGGATGCTTTAACAGATTGATCAAAGAAGGTCAACCAAGGAGGAAATTAAGTCTTATTGATCAACCCATGATGGTATCCATTTAAATACTGGCTCAGCATCTGCTCAGGACCAGCCACAGGGCTGCCCCGCTTTCCTTGATCAAACTAAGCTGCCTGCGGCTCGTCTGTACAGTGAGGTGTCTGCAGCAAAGTGAAGTTGGGGGGATGAGAAGAGATGATCCTTGGTAAGTACTTGCAAATAAATCACACAATAAAAGCTTTATATGTGCTAGCTGCTATGATTATTGCCTTTGTTGTTGGGCTACAAAGCATGCAGCAGGCATGCAGACCATGTTGTGCGTGGACAGAGCAGAGGCCTCAGCTCTTCTAGGACAGGACTTGCAGAGGCAGCAACTGTGTGGCATCACTTCCTAAAGAACAGAGTTTACTGGGCAGGTTTTCCCCAGCTGGGCAGAGAGTAAGAATTTTTTTAAAAAGGTGACTCCTCTGAGAAATGGGGCTTACCTCCACCTTTGGCTGGATTTAGTGACCTGCTTGCAAACAATTACACAGAAAAAGATAATAATAACTTCAGGTGGAGAAAGACTCCATAATGGGGTGTCTTTATACAGTGGAAGAGTTTTCAGAATGGCAGTGAAGACACACAAACGCCACCTAGACCCAGCAAAGAAGGTCAGCAGCACCGTGATGTAACGAGGGTCCCAAGGACATCCTGATGGGAGGCAGTGAGAAGCGGACCTCGCCTGTGTGGTGCTCCTTCCAAAACTCCACGACCCTGCCCTAATCATGGGCAATCTCTCAGACAAATTCAAATTGAGGAACATTCCATACAATGCTTGAGCACCACCCTTCAAGTATGGAAAAGCTACAAATAAACAAGGAAATGTTAAAACCCTGCCACAGACCAGAGAAGCCAAAGGAGTCCTGACAGGCAACACAACGTATTGTTCTAAATGATTGGTAAACGCAGAAATGGGAATTAATGGGAAAATTCATTAGTTCTGAATGGTTCTGAGTTCAATTAATAGTCACTGGTTTCCTATTTGATCTGGGTCAACACGTCTTTCTTTTGTGATCAGTCTGCCAACAAAATAAAGAAATATTCATGGAAATTGCACAGAAGCTAAATAAAGTCTAAGTTAGGTTAGTGGGTGAAATTTAATATCCAGACTTAATTAGATTTGCTGGTAAACATCTGGGAGCAGGTCCATGGTGTGGGGGATGAGGAAAATGAGGCTGACTTACAGGCTGTAGAGGGAGGGCCAAGGGCAGGGCTGAAGAGAAGAAGAACGGGCTTGCGGGTGATATTTCATTACTTAAGGTTATACAAAACTGACAACAGAGGAAGACGGAGGA